CAACATAACAACATAATCCCGATTGGAAAATGCCTCTGTAATTTCAATATAAATTTGACGTCCATGTATAAAAATGGCGACAATGGTGCTGACAACTTTTAGTGATATACTCTTTTAGATATATGTATTTATATACGAGGGGTTACTTGTGTGCCTCGCTATTTTCGATTAAGTTTCAATAAAATTCTTATATTTATCGTTAAATAAAGAATTATTCCCATGTGATGAAATTGATCGATACGTGATGAAAATTGTTAACGTATTCAAGGAGGAAAAAAAAGTATGAAGAAGCTATTGTGAAATGATTACGACTTGTTCCCCGCTTTCTCCAAATAAAAATTTTTGCACTGTAAATTCTATTTTCAAGTACAATCTCAATAGTTTTTTTCAACTGTTTGACGTCAAAAGTCTACTTTCGGCACGCGCAAGTTAATATAAAAGCTTTTTAGTCGGAGCCATGGAGGTAGTTGTGAAATACAGTAATTGTAACCCCATCCTTCATTTCAACATTGTTAATATTTATTATCAAAGAAAGCAACTTGGTTTGAACCTCCTTCTTTCATAGTGTATTTCGTTAGTATCGTAAAATGAGAGGTAAAGTGAAATACGGCTCTGCACGATGATGAAGGACATTTTTGATTACTCGATCCAATGTAACAATTTCAAGGGCAAGTTATTTTTGGATGAAGCACCAAAACGAGCTTGATACGCACCTATCATACTTGTACCTACCTCATGAAAGATGCTGTTGGCCGGTTGAAATGAGATGCCCAGCGTCCAGCGTGGGATGCGATCATCTAGATATAGCATTTCAGGTTTTTATGACTATAATCAAAATATTCATAATTCATTATAGAATCAATTTGTAAGAGATTATGTTCTGACGAGAAAATACTGGCATGAAAAATATAAAACTGTTCCCACAAGCACTATTCAATGTACTATGCAGGCAACATATGTGTTTTCTTCAATATTCTTTCATACTTTGTGAAAGCTTGCCTTTGATTTCATGAAAATATCATTTTTTGCGGTTGCACTGTTCAAATTATATTGATGAACTTCTCTTTTAACCAAATAATCTTAGATGTTATGAGAAATACAGACAAATCAACCGTAAAATAGATACTAAAATAAGACCTAAATAATGTATCTATATAATTAGAAAGAAAGCTTTATGACTTTTGAAGAAAGAAAGAGAATAACCACTCTTGATAAAGATATATAGATTATGCACATAAGTTTCTTTCAGATAAATGCCGTTCTCCAAATGAAAGTGTGATGCTCATGCGGAGGTTTTTTAGTGAAAATTCAACAATTTTGGAAAGAACTTCGCTGCCACACTCTTCTTCTCCGCAATTTACGAAAAAATTGCATGACGAGAGCCAACCGATATGCCTACATCGTCAGCAACTTCTCTAACAGTAATTTGACGATTCTCTATCACAATTTGCGTCACTCTCAACGTTTTCATCGATTGTTGATGTACTGAGGCGTCCAGTCAGTCACATCTTCTCAACTTTCTGTGAAAAGCTTCTTCTTCCTGACATCTGTGTGGATATGAGTAGAAGGAAACGTGAAAAAGTGTTTGAAAGCGATTTGGTTAGCTGTATGAATTTTATTGTTCAGCAGGGATTGATTCATTACATCAATAATGATAATTTTGTCAAGAATAGGTGATTTTAATTTATTATCCTATTTACTAAAGAAGTAAAAGTTATTGATTAATCAGCAAGCTATTAAACTGAAATCGACCTTCGGACAAATATTGCTGGGGACGTAGTTCTTTCAATATTACTACATTGTCAACGACGATAAAATTTTAAATGAATTCTTGTCGATGAAACTAGAATCTGTGTAGCATTGTGAAATTATAGTGATATCGAGAGTCCAACAACTTGGGAAAATACTGGAATAAATACAATTTTATATGTCCACATAAGTCCAAAGACTTCATCAATGAGAAATATATTCGTATGAGAAAATAAATATTTCGAATCTTGAAACATTGACCTCTCCCAACGTACCTTCGCAGTAGGTTCTTTTAGATGCCTACTAGAAAATAACTAGTTCCCCGGCTAATACCACGAAAGACATTGAATTATATCTGACAGACACATTAAAGTCAGTCGAGTCCCAGGCAAACTGTCTATATATGATCTACTCGAATCACTTCAGCTTGCTTAGAATGAGAGGCATCTATATTTCAAAGTATGAATGCCACATTGTATTGTGATATCAATGCAATATGATCATATTTAAAAAAACTCGAATTCTTCCTCTCCTGGCACAGAACTAGAATCCAGGGTTCAGTTATAAGGGTCTTCGTGATTTCTATGAGCTGTAGTTAAAACCAACCTCAACTACGTAAGGTTGCCTAACTAACTGAAAAAAATAGTGAATTAATGATTCTTACCAAAAATTCTTCGCGAATATTTCAAGCTAGTTCCCTGGTACTAGTTGATCAAACAGGAAGCTGATTTGCCTTCTCCAGAGTGTCACTTTCTGGGCAGAGACAAACTGAGATGGCGGAATCTATGACTTTAATTTTTTCAAGGCATAAAATTGAATAATTAGGAATACGTCGAAATTACTGAATCATCATCATCTTGCCATCGACATCATTCAGCACCCTCATCAAAAATGTTCAGATTTTTTTTTTTTGAAATTCTAACAATTTATTCAGGTAATTTATTCAGGTAATTCAGGTAATTTACAGAGAAAATTTTACAAAAAGGGGAAAAAAGAAGAATGAGGTAATAAACCACTGTGAGTCACCTAAGCAAGCTTGTGATGTGATTCTCACAGCGGTATTACGATATATATATAAAATTTATATAGTACAGTATTCAAACGTCTAATTTAACTTCTATAACATGTATTACATAGAATGGCGAGATATAGTTAGTAGCAACCCTGTGCAGGTCTAGAGGATTTGTTACAAAATCTACGTTGTTTAGGTCAATATGTATTTAGAAATAGGTCTTTTATTTTTTCATGATTTTGTTCTATAAAGCACTTTAGTTCTTTTTTCAACTTATAGTTCTTAGTGATATTTTTTATATATGGAGGCAACATATTAAAGAGTTTGGGACCGTAGTAACTCATAAATCTTTGAGTATGATTTTTTTTACATAATGGTACCACTGTGTTTCGCTTGGCTTTAGCACGAGTATTGTGAAAGTGTGGTAAAGCTGGTAATTGAGATTTCATCATCCATAGTAAGCAATGGTAGGTATATAGTTTTCTTACATCAAATAATCCTGTCTCCCTATAAATTGCTTCCGTGGAGTACCTCTTGTTTTTCTTAAGTAATATTTTTAATAACGTATTTTGCATGACCTGTAGGTTATGTAGATAAGTTTTGCTCAAGCTTCCCCATGCTGTAATGCAGTATCTAATAATTGATTCTGCTAAGGAATCGTATATTATTAATAAAAGTTTATTATTTAGTACATTCCTCAGTTGGTAGAATTTATACATGAGCTTTCTAAGTCTTTTAACGGTATAGTCAATGTGTCTATCCCAACGCAAATATTGATCCAGCATTACACCAAGATACTTTATGTAGCATGTTTTTTGTATGGTAGGACAGGAGCAACCAGGAAAATGATCACACTGGAATTTATGAATCACAATTTTATCACGGACTGGTTGGTCTTTTGAAGTTGTAGTGAATGCCACAAATTTAGTTTTACTGATATTCAGACTGAGACGGCTAGCATTTAGCCAGCAATATAGAATTTTTAAACTATTTTCTGCTGTTTCATAGACTGCATCCCATGTGTCACCAACAAAAAGTAGTGCCGTGTCATCAGCATAAGAAGTTATTTGTGCTTCAATATTTTCAATTTTAAATATGTTATTGATGTATATTAAAAAAAGTATGGGTCCAATCACTGTTCCCTGAGGGACGCCAATGGTAACGGGTAGTGGATTACTAAATGAGTCGTTAATTTTTACTATTTGGTTTCTACCTGAAAGATAATTTGAGAATAACTTTAATGCGATACCTCGAACTCCTATTTCTTCTAATCTATCTAACAAAATGTTGTGGTTGACAGTATCGAAAGCTTTCGCGAGGTCTAAAAATACTGCGATACTCTTTTTGCTGTTCCTAATCTTTTTGCGAGCTCAAGTATATAGCTGATTGATTTGAATGTTCCTTGCCGGTTAGAATGGAAAAAAAAAACTATTTAATACGCCTTCATTGTGATTTCTCTACATATTTCTTGGCAATAGCAGCCATCACAAGCAAAGGAATTTCGGACTAACAACAATGCAATTTGCAAATGCAACATTACGTTCTAATTCTTTTTTCTAATATATTTTTCTTCTACTGTTCCTAAGGTGATCAAATAGATAGTTGATGTGATACCTCTTCTGTCCAATTTGGAGAGAAAATATTATGTTATTGTACAAATTATGCCGTTGATTCTATTGTAAAGAAGTGAAAACAGAACAAAGTGACCCATAGGTTTAGTTTCCGCCCTGTCAGTTTTAGTCACCCGTAAAAAAAATAACGATCTGAGATAAGGCAATTTGATTTTTGGTAATAGGGACTAGGTTTTCCTCCTTATCCTAGGTTTGTGTAGGCAAGTCGAACATACTTGGTTCTATAGTGGACAACACAAGATTGGCAAAATTCAAAACAGTGAGGTGTTGTATAGGCAATATCGTCAACTAACATCCCAGTCAATAAATTGAACTAATTAATGTCAATGTGAATATAGGAGGAAATAGTTCAGATGGTGTTCCATCACGTATAAAGGTAACACCTCGTTTATCTTTAGCTCGCACATGTGTCGATTTCTGAAGGTTGTCGTTCGTAGGGCGGCAAGAACTCTTCAAATAAAAAAAGAGAGATGTAGTCAATAATTAAGGCTGAGGGATTTACATATGATCTACCAAACCCCTTTTTGAATTTACATCACTACGAGTACCTACTATTGTATTATTATTATTCCAAACAAAATAATATACAAATCATGTAGTACTATTACCTTGTTTAATCGTGATCGATGAAGTTGGTCCTCCTGGCGGAGACAATAGAACCGGACTCTGGATCGGAGTACTGCCCGCCAAAGGTATATGAAGAGGAGTCAGTTGCTGGGGTGGTGGAGAACCGTCAGTGGTGGATCCAACCGAGCTGGGATCACTAAAACCTTGAGTGTCCTCGGGAGTATCGAAGAAACACAAGTTGAACTCGGAACCGGCTTCAAATGTTAATTCCGATGCATTGATTTTATCGGGGGATGGCGCACGACCCAGATTACCACTTAGCGATTGGTCGATTTTGAAAACGTCCATTTTATCGTTCAGCAAAGTTCAATAACTCTGTTAAATCACTTACTTGTTGTTTTGGAACTATTTTGAAAATATTCTTTATCGATTTCTGGCACAAACTAGTCTATAGTGAAAGCGAAAAACGACCTTTTCCCTTTGTTAACTTTTGAATCGAAAAATTATATGTCGACTTCAATCATAATTGAGGTTTCATGATGAAATTTTCATTACTTTATGCTGGTGCATTGAAGTGAGACAAAAGATCACTGTCAGATTATAAAATTACAAATGGAATATTATTTTAGATTTTTTCATAGGTACTCTATTATCTCAAAATAATTCCTAATAAATGTCCATTCTATTGAATTTACTGTTATTGAATTCATTATTTCATATAGTTGTTTTTTTTTAATTTCTTGTATGTAGTTATATTAATTTTCTTGCCTTCTTTACCTATATAAAAGTATCAAAGCCAATATTCAGCCTTTCAAATTAGACCGAGAAAGCCATATCGAGTAAATGCCCTAAACTGTAACTCTTTCACTCACAATGAACCATGCTCATCTCAAAGCAGTGGCGGCTCGTCAGAGGAGGCAAGGGAGACTTAGCCTCCCCATAAAATTTGAGGCTATTCATCGCAATAAATTAAAAGATATTGACAAATAATTATGATTATTTTTTTCTAAAAATGCTTGGGTATCATTACTTTACCATTAATTTTTAATATAAATACATAATATGCCCAAAAAAATACTATCACTCACTACGTAGTACGTACCACACTGTATCATCCTGCATCAACAAAACTTAAACGCACCGCCCATGAACGAATAACGAATAAACCATCAACCCGAAATAATAAATGCCATACGTTGCAAGGGAGTCAAGCCTCCGACCGCTTTAAAAAACACAGGCCCCACGAGACCGATCCAACCATCGACATACGTCCCGATTTGTAATTTCAGTTGCAGAAATTATAGCGTCAGAGGAGGCTAGCCTCCTGTTGGTCTCCGTTAGTGTATGACTGCGTTTGTTTTTTATTCTATTATTCGGACGGAATGCCGTGACGGACCGGGACTGAAAAATACTTCGGTAAATTGTTTTAGTGTTTCTTGATAATATTTGTTATTTGTGTATAAAACAGGCAGTATTGTATTATAGCAGTGCTTTTTGGTAATATTTTTAATATGTTTTCAAAAAGAGTTTTCTTTCAATTTAAAGGTGTTTTCACTTTTCGGTAAGTTTTTTTTTCATTTATTATGGATACGTTGGACGAAATTAAAAAATCTGACGATATAGTCGATTGGTTGCTGACAATAATTTTAAGTCTTTATCTTATGATAATAAATTTTACATTATTAAAACTCTGGAAAGGCCTCAACCAAATTTGATTTCAATTAAATCGTCAGATAATCGACAAAATCGAGGATTTAATATTAGTTGGTACGATAAATGCGATTGGTTAACCGGCTCCATTAAACGAGAAAAACTTTTTTGTTGGACCTGTGTTTTATTTTCCGTACAAACTGAATACCAAACGTGGTCTATAATAGGATACTCCGATTTAAAAAAATTACCTCTTGTTATGGGGCAAATATGATTCACAATTTGGTACTTTTTTAAACGGTAGCGTTTTTTCGGGTACCTCAAAAACCATACAAAATGAGCTTATAGACAGTGTGGCATATATTATCAAGTATAATATAAGCAAGGAGATTGAAAGTGTTTCTTTTTTTGCATGGGAAATTGATGAAACTACCAATACTACCTGTACATCACAACTTTCAATCGTTTTTAGATATGTCAAAGATGGTAATGTGGTAGAACGTTTTATGGGTTTTCATGATGTTTCATCTGGGCACAAGCTGACGATTTGTTTAATTTTTTAATTCGTACGTGTAACACCTATGATTTTAGGCAAACGTTAATTGCGCAAACCTATGATGGGGCTGCGGTCATGGCCGGCCATTTAAATGGTTTACAAACTAAAATAAAGTCCATAGCTCCTCAGGCACTTTTTACGCATTGTCATGTCCATGCCCTAACTTTAATATTAAGCAAAGCGTGCAACAACAAACATTTCCGCGCCTCCGGCGGGCTTATATGTGTGTATATAGTCTTTATCACTTTAGCCTCCCCTGTTCTCCAATGCACGAGCCGTCACTGTCTCAAAGACTAGACTACATTCAATCTAGCTCATTTTTTGATGGTGGAAGAGGTTAGTAAAACGAGCGTCGAAAAGAGTGTTGTAACAAGTCTTTCAACAGGGACTTCATTCAAAAATTTCTAACTCGAAAAGTACGAAAAATCTCATAACATATGTTGGGGTCTTGGGTTGTCCAATCTAAAAAAATATTTTAGACACCTCCGTTTGGGCCACCATGTATATAGAGATTTGTTTGAAACCAACTTTCAATTTCAACGAGGAATGAATGAACAGGCTGGAACAAACAAAGGGTTTGAATCTCATCCCTGTCGGCCAAAGGATGTTCATATCTTTATTGATGCCTTCGATTCAGTTTGAAAAAAATTCCAAGTGAATCCGTTTACAAATTTGATTCAGGTTTAGGTTTGAATACTTGAATTTTCGAAGGTATTTCAAATTGTATCAGATACTCTTCTGTTTACTGTCGATAGTTACATATCTTTCAGATTTTTATTGATGCAGAAATCACAAATACAACTTGAGTACATTGAGATACAATGGGAATCCTATTGAAAGATTTCTTCTCAATATGAGAGGCTTATGAGAATATGTCACTTATAAAATAAATAATAATCTCGTAGAATGTCGCCTTGGATCAAACGTTCACCGGTTCAACTTTGTTACTCCTCAGTGAGGAATATAATAAATTCGATAAGATAGAACTGAGAATTTTGTGCTGGTATTTCAAACGATGCTTTACTCCGACGCGACGACTGGTTTCTCTTCCCCAATGCACATATATTATCTCATGAACATGAAACCAGAAACGAATGAAGATTTTTATCTGAGAAAAGCTCGACGAATTTAATATATTCACACTTATTTTTTTCGAGTCTTGAAGCGAGTATTTCCAATTACTTGAAATATTCGAAGAGGAATTTTAGTTTCCGAAATAAACACTTCACGTCTCTCATTATGCTGACGCTGGTTTTCATAAATCAAAATATATGGATATACTAGAAAGACATGGGTTTATTTTTCAGTTGTTTGTATTCCTGAAATATGATCCAATGTGAATCGCTATTCACATTGGATTTGAATCGCTAGAGATTGAGACTGAGGTGTGTCCTGTTTTCTGGTTCAGAACAGTGTTTGGAGATTTCGAAAAGCTACCTTTGCAATTGTGCTGAAACATATCGGTGTCAATTTTTTTCCCGAACAAACTTATCGAAGCAGAAAGCGGAATGGTCTGGGTTTTTGTTGGATTGAACAGAACCTCGTTAGTTTCACCCCAATTCGAAATTACTTCTATATTCTCATCAATATATGCAACTTCCTGCTGCCTGTGAAGATGTAAGATGTGTGCCCGCAGACAATGTTCTGGAATCCAAATGGAATGAATGGAATGTTGGTCTCTCAAGACAGGTGAACCGTAGCCGAGTGATGGATATAGAAGTGTCTAATATTCATACTGATTCATCAGATTATTAAAATTCATTACTAATCACTTGTTTCCCTCAACCAATTAATTTAAACGATAATCTTTTTTCCAATCTTCAAACTCCAAACCTGGAAATGATACTATAGGTACCAGGAAGAAACGTGGGGAACATAAGAAGAGATTTTGATATCATTGGTACATTTGAAATTCATGATTTTCGAAGTTTGCAAAAAAATCGAAACTGAAAAGTTTTTGAATCAAAATATTTAATATGACTTCAATTACGATTTTTGAAGATATGTAGATAATGGAATAGTACAGATCTATACGTGCGACGAAAATTTTAAACAGCGTTTCAAAATACTAATAAAATGGCTGAATAATAATTTGGGCACACTGTATTAAAAGTCTCAAACAAGTTCGAACGTGTTAATGAACTAATTCTGTTAGGTGATATTATTAGTTACTCGTTCACAAAAACGCTATATTTGATGAGTCAATTAGATGTTGTTATTTGTTCAAATATTGATGTTATTATGAATCATTTATCATAGAATAAATATACATTGAAAATCTATTCAACGGACCACCACAAAAAGAAAGCATCTCTCGTTTATTATTCATGTCGGAAGATTTGATAAAAGTTTACTATTTACTCACATAAAGTCTACCAGACAATCCACAATTATTATACTGAAATAGTACACATTTCTTTTACCTTTCTCGATACAAAAACTGATAAATTAGCCAGCGTCATTTTCGTATTCAATGAATCAGTTCTAGTTAATAGAAAAACAGATGAACTCAATAAAGTATCACGAGAGGAACATATATGAAGTATCACAAATTAATAACAGTGCAGAAATCACTATGACATTATCAGAAGCCAAAATAAAATACCTGAGAAGTGTTTAGGAAAAAATAATTGAGTAGATATATTAGGGAAAATATTGGCAGGAAACGCAAACAGAAAAACTCAATACCGGAAAGAGTCTGTCTGTCTGAGTCTGTCTGTGGAGAAAACCCAAATTGAGGTAACGATTGAAGAAATTATAGACAGGTCCATATTCAGGTGCACAATAATTGATAGACGAGTTGCTACTACATGAATAAGTTACTGAAATAGTTATCAGCAAAGAAACTGTTTTCGAAAAAATCAAATGTGCATTTTCATGGAACAACAATCAAGTAATACAGGAATAATTGTCTAGTAAAACGTAAAAACGACAAAATAGGAAACTGTGGGAAAATAAATCAAAGAGAAAAATCACAGAATCTAAAAAAACGGCGACAACTAAATGGAAAAGAACAACTACATGATACAATCTGACACCAGATCGGCAACTGCATGATAGATACTCCCGAAACTGTTTATTTATTTATTTCAGTTGTTTTCGATCTTATATTTTTGAAGTGATTTCTGTTAACATTTAGCTGACAGTACCAGTGATGTATTATTCATTTCTACTAATTAACAATGAGCGAGGCCATTTATGGCGAATTTACCCAAAACCGAAGCATTCATTTTAGCAGCAAGTTGAAACCTGTTTGTTTTCTCGAAGAAAAATGTTATGTTTATCAGTAACTTATCAAGTTCCATAACTTATCCAATTGAAAAAAAGAACTAAGAATTTTATGGGATAATTGAAGGGTGGACTTGCTGAAAGATCTAAGTACCATGTTTTCACTTTTGAGTTTCGTCATGCTAACCTCTTTTCCCTAATATCCTGTTTTTTACTCCTCGAAATTTTTAATTTTTGACACTCAGCACCGTTATCAATTCCAGTCTTCACTTATCTTGACGTTTTGAAACCTAAATTTCGCTCCGTCTTCAGAATTAAAAACTAGCTACTTCGCAGTTTTCTGATGCTAGAGAATTGTATAGCTATATTTTCTAAATATCTTTGACAGATGTCCAAAAAAAAATCAAAATATTATATATGTGAAGATTGATATCTCAACATTAGATGTAATACAAGGTGTACAAAATTCTTCATAACCATGTGAAAAAACCTCTGAAGTATCAATTGAACATTAGAATCTTCGTTTTGTTTATCATTCACTTTCATTTTTTGGCTCCAATAATAATAAACATGTTCACATTTTTCTCAATCATTCTCCAAATGGAATCGATACAAACTATTACTGTTTCATTTTGACTTGAGTATCAATGAATCATTAATGATATATTAAAAAAACACACTTTAATGTGAGACTGTCACTTGAAAAGGTATTCTCACATTAAAGTGTGTTTTTTGAATACGTTATAATGCATTGAATCACTATTTTTATTAATTAAAAGTGATGCGTCAATATTTGTGTGGTTTGACTTTTGACAATCGCCCACTCAGAATGAAGTTCCTATCAACTCCTAGCTTTGCCAAAAACAAACCATCGATAATTGCAGGGGCTCTCTTCCAAATAAAAAAAAAGTTACTAAATCGCACCAACCCTAAACCGATCCGACAGGTAGTGGTAACCCTGTCAAACGCTTTTCGGGAGTCAATCAAAACCCTCCCTATGCCTCGCGCCCTCGAACCGAAACAATCGCTAAAAAATACCGCCGTCCGTCGTCATATCGTTCACACTCCCGATCCCTGCCGTCGTCGTCGAACAGGTGGTGCCTCGCGCGTCGGGACGCCATCGCCACGTGATCACCGGCACCGGGTCGAGAGCATCGCAAGTTGTGTAATCCCGTACTACTAACAACGTCCGGCGTGGAACCGGCGAGGTGAGCCTCCAGCTGCTCGGAGAGGAGGGACCGGCCGCCCAGAGGTTGATGAACCTTCGAAGAGATGGTCGTGCACCGATGAGGTAAGCTGGTGACCATCCCGGTGGAGTTGGAGAGCTTCGTTCGGAGGAGGCAGCGTCGTTGGACGCGAAGGTGGGCATTTTTTCCAAATGAAATTAACAACGTCAAAAAAACTAATTCAACATTCAATTCAGTGTCAAAAAATGACAAGAAAATATGGTGTTTTCGCTCAGAAGAGGCAACGTCTTAGAAGCTGATGAGGCGACAGTAGATTTTGTAATTTTTCATAAAATTATTCAAAAACATTTCATTAACTTTCTTCGAAAGCTTCTGATAATTCCTCTTCCATACTCTCTGTTTCACTATCACTGTCGTCATTTAAATCAATAATGCATTTATTTCCATCATTAATATGGAAGTATCCAATCTCCATTTGTCTTTTTTTAACTAAAATTACTTTTTTAATCCTTTTCTGCCAGTCTTCTTCGGTAATATTAGATACTTCTTCTTTAACTAGTTCTATTATCTTCTCATCAAATTTTGGAAAATTATTTTTACGCCTGATGCTTTCTTTCAATTTTCCCCAAATCAACTCAATGGGATTGAAAACACAAAAACAGGGGGAAAGTCTCAGTATGGTGTGTCCATACTGTAACGAATTAAGGTATTAACTGTCTTAAACAAATTTATTTTTAACAATATTTCACTATTACGACTGATTTATATACAACACTCAGCAACTAACGCTCAATTTATCTTCACCGTTCGAATTCTTTGTTAACCGCTCGATTCGCTTTCTGAATACAGTCTCCTGCTCTGGACGAGAAGCGGCCTATTATATCGGCAACGATCGCTCCAGATCTCTCTAGTGGTTTCGGCACTCATCTATACCTTTCGCGGCGGTTCGCGGTGAGTAATGTGTTTATTCGCTGGCTGAGACATCGGTCAGGGCCGGCTCCAGACTCGCCACAATACTTTTCAGCAATATTCTCAAGGGCATACACTCTTTCAAATGTTTTTGTCTGTAAAACTTCGAGTAGTTGGTTGTTGGTATAGTTATCTTCAAAATACAAATTGTTTTCCATTAAAAAACTTTGTATTTCTTCTTTCCTCGAATTTTTATTCGGTACTTTGATGAGCTGTCGCGATTGATAGGAAGCGTTGTCAAGAACAATTACACTATTCGCATCCAAGTTTGGGATCAATGTGTTTTCAAACTATTCCTCTAAAATATTAGCTGTCATGTTCTTATGTTCTTCTTATGTTCAAAGAACCAAACTTGAATTGTAGATTCTTGTATACATTGAAACATAATCTCTGAGTTTCAATATTCAAATGCATCCGAATCTTATTCACTGGTATATCTTTTTCACATTGTTCACCAGCGCTATTGGAATCACTTCACAGGAAAAAGTCTGCGTTGTTATCACACTCGTTATTACTATTAGTACTTGTCCAAGGACGCCACATTTGAATAGATAACAAAAATTTTAAGTAATTATAACTGCACCAATATCGAATTTCAACACTCAAATCGCGATCAGTAACATGACTTCAAAATACAATTTTATCAGTCTTCAGCCAATCATAAAACTTGGTTAGTAAAAATCATCCAATACGAACCGTCAATTATTCAGTCCACGTGAACCTGCTGGCAGCGACTTTATCTCTTTGTATTGGTTTTTTTGCCTCTGAGGGCGCCGATAGCTTTAGGTGTTCACAATAAAGATTACTTCGACTATAAAGCGTGGTCGAAAGGAACTTGTAGTGCCAAACTTTTCGTCTGCCACTGCGACAGGAATCTTTGGGGATATATGCGTTGACTTTGAGATAGAGCAATAATGTTTTCTACAAAATAAGAATTTGTTTTGTGCAATAAAGGTGGGTGTTGTACTTTTCTGGTAGCTTGTGGTGAATCATAAATGCAGACCATTAACAGAACTCGGTACAATAAAAAACAAATATTCAATTCATAAGAAATACTTAAGCTGCAGACAAAATCACAAATAAACAATGAGGTGATGAAATGTAGAACTGAAACCTCTGGTATAGAATAAATCCAAAGCAAGCAATGTTTAAAATTTGTTTTTACGTCAATCAGCTGTCGCTTCTATACGAACGACAACTCTCAGAAGTTAAGAAACTTGTGCGAGTTAAGGACTAACGAGGAATATGATGGAATCGGCCGATACTTGATGAAAATCCATAACTAACGTATTCTAAAAACAGTTTATTGTGTGATTTTCACTAGACAGTTTTACAAAAACGCAACAGGTGGTTTGCAACACGTGGTTCGCCATACAATGGCTTTCTCGGGTGTGTCTTACTAACTCTGAATTAGTAAGACACGCCCAAACACGTGTTGCGTTTTTGTAAAACTGTCTAGTGAAGATCTCACAATAAAGAGTTTTTAGAATACGTTAACGAGGTCTTACCTTTTAATGTGTGATTTCCAACACTGCTCTCAAACATCAAAATTGCAATACTCTTATTGACACGCGTTTCACCAACTAAGTTGGTGTTTTTAGGAGAAGTGGTTATGATGTGATGTAACCGAAGGAGTATCCTGAAGAGCATGTTGACTTTCAAGCTGGAAGTTCTCGAGTCATTAAATTTAACTGTATTGTGAAATTACTGTTTCGAGCATGGGTTTTTGACCAGTGGCAATTTTCTAATTTCTAATAATATTTCTGTAGGCGAAACTGCCAATTTACTGGAAATCACTCATGACGATGCTTTGAACTGTTCATCTCATATGAAGGAAATAAACCAGATACTCTCAAAATATCTTTTTTTACTCCGGCAATTGAGAAACTTTGTTGGTGCAGAAACTCTTCAATCAGCTTATTATTCTCATGCTAGCTTTGAGGCAACTCCCCCAATGCCACTAAAGTTTTGACGCTTCAAATACGAGCACTTAGAATTATATCCCACGCAGGTTTTCGCGAACCATGCAGGCCATTTTTCAAAAGACTAGGCATTATGAAGTTATCACCTATTTTTATATATCAGACAATCTTGGAAATACACAAGAATATAGATAAATTTTCGATCAACTCCCAATTTCACGGGTATAATGGTTAGGTTAAAAGTGAGTCCATTCAACCCTCCACCACAACCCGCAAGGATTTATTGTGGCTAAACGTTTCCCTTGTACGTGTATAATACTCGTATGGCTAATCTTTTGAGACCTTAGCAGTTCAATTTACAAAAATCCTCTAATAACTCACTCGATGTCAATCTATATAATATTCTACCATTCAGTATCATAAATTTATCCTCGTCAAGTTTCAGAAAGGACATCAAGGACTATTTAATAAAACAAAGTTTTTGTAGTACGGAGGAATATGTGGACACAACATCAGTGCTTGAACTTTTATAATAATCATGCACATTCTATGTTCACTTTCCTTGTGGAACTGTATGTATATTTTATTCAATTACTTTTCTGTATATTTCATTTAATAATTTTTCTGTATATTTTAACTGTCATTGCTTTTTTATACAAACGTTTTTGTTCAGTTATGCTGTTCATCTAAATTCTGTACTACCTACTTTATATATCGTAGGCAATAAACATCTATTCATCTATGATTATGAAAAATATTTTGAACTGGTGGACTGCTAATTGCCCTTGCTTTGCTGCTTTGAAGTTGACATGTTTCAAATTCGATCACAATTTGCCCCGTTCAAGCAAATTCGCTAAAAATAATTACATTGAAAACAAAAAAACATGTTTTGATTGTATATAAACTTTGATTTTGAGTGCTTCGCCTTCAAGTTACGTAAAATTGCTTCAATAGTTATTTAGCTGCATACTGAGCTATTACTCTGGAGCCTATTTTTATTTTCAACATGTTTTATCTTTAATTTTCTCATTTAAAGCTAATTTATCATTTCACCATAGACATAAAGTACAATATAGAACACACGACGATTAAGATGACGAGCATTTTAGAATGGGATATTCAACAACCATTTGATAAGTGAACGACTTTTAACTTCTACAAAAATCACATACTCAATTTTGCCTCCTGTTTGGACAGGTCTCTACCACGTTTCATTCTTTTCTATATCATCACATGCAAATTTCATCTAATTTACTTTCTATCTCTTCTTCACTTTCCATGAGCACATCGACCGAGGAATTCGAAGTAGATGAATCATCTTTAAAAAAAATTTTCGCAGAAAAAAAATTTTTTTTTGTTGTTGTTGTTACCCTCTTCCTGTTGTTTATTTCTCTCTCTATATCTCTCTCTAATTATGCAAACTTTACATTTTCTTCATGACTCTCCTTGCATTTCTGCCAACTCAAGTGAAGGAAGAGGGTCGAATCTCGGTACGGGGGGCATACTGTCCCATTCAATCCAAAAAATCGACAATTACCCAGCTCCGGCAGTATCTATACCTTGTACACGTGTGTACCTTCGGAGAAATGAAACCGGTTTCAGTAAAAGTTCATTCACACTCGGATGCAATCGTTCTTTTCTTCTTGTTCTCGGGACAGGAGTCTCAACCATCATTGATACTCCGGAGAAAATGGGAATTCTGCCTCATTGCCAAGACATTATTTGGTGTTACATTTCATATGATTCCATTCCACGAGTAGGAATCACGAAGAAGTGTGTGAACAATAGTATATTATCCAAAAAGCGAGAAAAGGCCGTTTAATAATAATAATAATAATAATACGTTTTTATTCACCATAAAATACAAATGGAATAGACAAAAATAAAATAGAACAGAGTACAGGAACAATAACAAAAACAAAGAAAAAAAAAACTTCCAGTATATGGTTTCTAGCGAGTAATGTCGACTGGCGATAGTTCTGGGATTATGGTGGGTGATACACCCATATTTCGAGCTTTTTGGCCTTTCCAATAAGTTTTAAACCATCAAAAACCGCATGGGAGCTGACGCCCGGCGCCTCCGCCATCTT